AAACACATATTTACAACCCCTCATTAATGCCATTGGTACCTGGAGCAGTGAGACCCAAGTTTCCTGGCCAATGCTACTGGTCTGTGGACCACACTTGGAATAGCCAGATATAAAACTCCAGGGAAGCATCTCCCATGCAGAAGCAGTCAGCCTCTGAGATGCCCATCTGGCTTTCCTTTTGTCAAAACGGCCCAAAACCAATGCCAACTGGGCCTGACTCATCTGCTCGCCACATGGGCACAGTTCAAAAGCATCATTTCCATAGCATGTAAGCAAGTGAGCATCCGAGCATTTGCCTAGGGAAACCCAAACGCCATGAGAGGGTCACAAAATAAATCCAGGCAAATGCATTTGCATACAGTTGCCAGGCCTTTGCCAGGGCCCACACTGCCCCTCCGGGTGAGTCAGGCCACAGTTATATCTTGTCTATGGATTTTGCTGCTGCCTTATTTGGTTGGTTGGTTTTGCTGGTTTGTTTGTTTGTTTGTTTGTTTGTTTGTTTGTTTCTTCCTGAGACAAGGTCTCTATGTTGCCATGGCTGTCCTGGAACTCACTCTATAGACCAGGCTGGCCTTGAACTCAGAGATCCACCTGCCTCTGCCTCCTTTGTAATGGGATTAAAGGTGTGTACCACCATGCCCCGGTATTCAGTCATTTTTTAACAGATCAGGATATAAAAGCTTGGAGAAGGAAGGTGACCCAAAGCCATACCACCTGTAAGTGGCAAAGGTTTACATCCAAATGGGGCTTCAAAGCTGGGACTAGAGAGATAGCTCAGCAGTTAAGAGAGCTAGCTACTCTTTCAGAGGACTTGAGTTCAATTCCCAACACCCACATGGTGGCTCTTAACTGTCTGTAACTCTAGCTACTAGGGATCTGATGCCCTCTGCTGGCCTTCTCTGGCACTGCACACACATGGTGCCCGTACATACACACAGATGAACACTCATATACATAAAAATAAATAATACACACAGGGCGGGGGGGGGGGCAATCTGACACTAGATGCAAACAAGGCTTCCACCTTCACCTCACACTGCAGCCTCTGAAGCTGCACAGCTATGCATCTCTACTATGGTGCTTTTCTTTTCTTTTAAGTCTTATTACATTTCATTTATTTTGTATGGAGCAGGGGTGTGTCCACCGATCAGTGCGTGGGGGGGAGCCAAGGACAACTTGCAGGAGTCAGTCTTCAAATGCCAGCACATGAGTCCCAGGGACAGAACTCATCAGGCTTGGTGGCCGGTGCCTTTATGACCTGAGCCATCTAACCCACTTTCGACATCCTTGTTATTTTTCAGACACCCAGTCCGTGAGCTTTAGCTACAGTGGGCCTCGGTCCTAGTAACCTTACTGAACCAAGAGCCTGGAAGGTGGTGATGTATGTTGGGCCTTCAGAGCTCACGAGGCTGAGGCTGATTGGTGGGTTGGATGGAGGTCAGTCTGGACTGTACTGAGACAATGTCTCGAACACAATGGTGATGGTAATAATTAATGGCTAAAAAAGAATTGAGGCATCAAATCTCAGGGTCCCCTCTCTCCAGGCAGCCCCCACTCTGCCTCCAACCAGTTTTCACGCTGGGTCTCCACGTGTGGATTTGTTGGCAAGAGGCGGCCCTCGTTATTAAATCCTCTATATTTTACCAGATGAGCAGTGGAAACACGGGTCTGAAGAGAAGGCAGGCAGGCAGGCTTTACCCGTTGCCAGCCAATGATTCAGCAGCGGTTTTGAGACAAGAACTGGGGAGTTCTGGCTTTCACCACTCTTGATCTGTGGTGAAGGCTCAGGCCCCATGAGGACACCACCCTCCATGCTACAGGCACAACTTGGCCAGCTCATGGCTCAGCCAGGACTACCCTTCCCACCCCACAACTGCGCAGGCTCGCCCATCCCCCAGCCGCGACGACGGCCGGCCGCAGAGTAAAAATCGGGCACCTTTTCCTGCATCCAGCACCCAAGCTTCAAGGCCAGTTGGGCACAGGGAGCGGCCTGTCCCTCTCTGAACTGACCTTCTGAAATGCCCTTTTCCCCTGAGCGAGGGGGGGGGGGGTGCTGGCAGAGCAGGCCGCGCAGGGGTTAGGCCTTGATAACCCGAGATCAAAGCGGCCTGTCAGAGGTGTCAACTGAGAGGCAGCCAAGACAAGCGACACAGCTTTATCTCCCCGCTGGCTGGCGGGGAAGCACCATGGTTCCCGGAAACTATTTCTGGACAGGCAGGAGAGAGAGAGAGCCTGTGGCAGAGGCTGCTGTCCGTGCCAAGCCACGCCAAATGGACCCAGGGACTCTGTGCACCATACAAGGGTCCTTATCTTTCTCCTCACTCTCTCCTCTTTCATCCTTAAATTCTTATTTTCCCAGCTGCCTGTGCCATACACAGTAAAAATCCGTGAGATGGTTCCGTGGGTAAAGGGGCTTGGCCTGAGCTGGATCTCCTGGACCCAAGTACCTCAGCAATGTGTCTGTCCTCTGGCCGCATGCATGCACACAAATATAAATAAATGAATGTAATTAAAAACTAAAAACAGCCAGGCATGGTGGCGCACGCCTTTAAGCCCAGCACTCTGGAAGCAGAGGCAGGTGGATCTCTGAGTTCAAGACCAGCCTGGTCTACAGAGCTAGTTCCAGGACAGCCAGAGCTGTTACACAGAGAAACCCTGTCTCAGCAAAACAAACAAACAACAAAAATTAAAATAAATGAGTTCTTCTTCTCATCCCTGTAATATGGAGAGGGGTAGTTCCAGACGTGTCTGCAGGTATGTAGAGGTCAGAGGCAATTTCTCAGGGGCTTTTTGAGACAGGTCTTTCTCCCCAGCCTGCAACTCGCCCACTAGGCTAGGCTAGCCCCAGGAATCCACCCACCTGTCCCCAAGGCCCCAGAAAAGGATTGCAGCACATGATAACCTTTTATGTGGTTCGGGAGATAGAACTCAGCATCGCTCTTGGTAGCATAACCAACACTTCCCTAGCCATCCCCCCAGCCCCTGTTTTTCTGGAGGGGTGGGTTGAAATGGGGTTTCTTGTGGCCCAGGCTAGCCTCCTGGCCCACCATTATAGCCAAGGCTGATCCTTCTGCCTCCACCTCCCAAGCCCTGGATTACAGGACTGCACCACCACACTCAACTACTCTCTACAGGTCTGATAGACAAAGGATGACACCACATCGCCTATGTCCCTGACCACACACCTGTCTGTTCATTTGTTAGTCTTTCCATTCTCAGGTTCTTACAGTGTCTCTTCATACACACACACACACACACACACACACACACACACACACACACGAATGCACACACTGTCACGTGCATGCATGTATACTCACACACACCTGCTGCTTGTGCACACATAGACTCATGCACACTCACACACTCACACTTGCACCTGTCTGGGTTACAACCTCGAAGTTCTGAAAGGAAGAGCCAATCCAGGCGCCGATGCCGATTACATCTGTCTCCCACCTACTTTCAGCTCCTCCCGCTCCAGGGCCCTTTCCCCAGCAATGCCTGGGACAGAGGTTTGTTTTTCCCCTGAGGTGTGGACCCTTTCATTTGCAGCTGGAAGAAACAGCCACTGGTCTCTTCCAGCTGTGCCCCCAGCTGGACAGTTTCAAACACATCCACCGTTACCATAGTTCTTTCCCAAGCAAAGAAAGGCTTGATGTTGAGTGTTGGGGCCTTGATCCCCAACACTCAAAAGGTAGAAAGGCCACAGGATCAGAAGTCAAAGTCACCCTTGGCTACCAGGGACCATGTAGCCAAACAAAACAAGACAAAATCAGGGTCTGCAGAGATGACTCTCTAGTTAGGAGCATGTATTACACTTACAGAGGACCCAACTTCAATTCCCAGCACTCACGTGGCAGTTACAACCATCTGTAACTCCAGGGCTCTCACACCCTCTGCTGGCCTCCATGGGCACTGCATGCACTTGGTGCACATACACTCAGGCACACACACATAAAATACATATCTTTTTTTTTTTTTTTTTTTAAGAAAAACCTGTTCAAGTCAGGTGTGGTGGCATACTCCTTTAGCCTCAGCATTCAGGAGGCAGAGGCAGGAGGATCTCTGTGAGTTTGAGGCCATCCTGATCTAAATAAGAAGTTCTAAGATAGCCATGACTGCATAGAGACCCCCTGCCTCCAAAAATACATACATACATACATAAGTAAATGAAATAAAAACCTGTTCAAGATCCCTTAACTTTGAAACATTTTTTAAACAGTTTCATGTAGTTCAGGCTGACCTCAAATTCACTGCATAGCCCATGCTAAACCTCAAACTCATTCTGTAGCTCAGGCTGACCTCAAACTCACTATGTAGCTCAGGCTGGCCTTGAACTCCTTCCTAATCCACCTGTTGCCTCTTCCCTGGTGCCAGCATTGCAGGATTAGCTACAGCATCAAGGTTTTTTTTTCTCTCTCTCTCTTTGCTTTTTCCTTTCTTGTAGTACTAAAGATTGCATCTCAAGCCTTAAACTTTGCAAACTAGGTCCTCTACCACTGAGCTATATCCTCAGCAAGGAAATGAGCATTTTCATGCCCCTGCTGTATGCACTCAGCTGTCCAGTGCATTCTTGGGAGCCTAGAAATCCTGCACAGGTCCTGGCTGATCATAAATACTGAATTCCTGGCAAATATTTTTCTCGCTCTTAACCTCCATGGTAGTACTATGAGATGGATATACCTTACCTTTCAGATGAGGAAAAACAAAGATCAGAGGGTTCAATGATGCTCTACTACTCCATTCTGCCAATCAATTGACAAGCAAGGAGGCTGGCTAGAAAAAAAAAAATAACTGGATAGTACCCTATGTCTTTTTCCACAGAATAATGCAAAATCTGGTTTCACAAACACAGGTGTTTTTCTAAGCTTCTTTCAGGCCCATTAAATCAAAATCCTGAGCATTGGTTATGAGAGTCAGATGGACCTGTGAGGCCCAGACACTCACCCAGGTTCTGGGTGAAAAGCCACTTGCAGGAGGGGAAGGGTAGAGACCCTGCATTGTGGACACACTGAGGATCAGTTACCTTGTTGAGAAAGAGTTTCTCAAAGCTGCTATAGGAAAGCAAATTGCAGAGCAAGTGGTGGTGGTACATGCCAATGATCCCAGTGCTCAGGAGGTAGGAGGACCTGAGGATAGAAGTCTGGGATTACCCTAGGTATATAATAAGTTCAAAGGCCACCCTGGGATGCAGGAGACTGACAAAAAAACCCAGATAGATAGATAGATAGATAGATAGATAGATAGATAGATAGATAGATAGATAGATAGATAAATAGATAGATAGATAGATAGATAGGATCAACAGTGATGGTTAGATGGTAGATAGAAAGATAGATAGATAGATAGATAGATAGATAGATAGATAGATAGATAGAAAGAAAGAAAGAAAGAAAGAAAGAAAGAAAGAAAGAAAGAAAGAAAGAAAGAAAGAAAGAAAGAAAGAAAATTTCCTCCCTAATTAGGAGGGCCAGGATCAGTATCTAAAGGGGAAGTTGAGGTGACATAGAGGGAAAGAAAATGATGAAGATAAATGCAAGTGCCCACGACTTTGATCTTGCTGGAGTGTGATGACATCACTCTGCAGTTGAGTGCATCTGGGTCCTGCACACCTGGCTTTGAAGCCAGACTCCATTTCTTGCTATACTTGGGGGTAAGGGGTGGGTTGCTAGGGATGGAACCCTGATCTTGTTCATCCTGGGTAGGCACTTTACCCCTGAGCCACACCCCCAGCCCCTCTCCCGTCCTCATCTTTCCTCATCATTTCATTTGCTTTTTCTTTTCTTGTATCAATTCAATAAACAGCATCCATGCAAAGGAGAGGAGACAAAGATCCATGAACTTTATCCCTGGAACTGAGAGTGGCCAGAAGCCAAGGTCACCGAAAATACACAAAAGGCTTAAAAGGGGGAAAACGCGGCCAAAATTGAAATTTTCTCAGTCCTGTCAAGGAGTCTCTTTCGACCCTGCTGGCAGATTTGCAGAGCACATCTGTCAAAAGCTATGCTAGGGGCCCATGAGAGGGCTCAGGGGATGAAAGAGCTTGCCACCAAGACGGACGACCTGAGTTCGAGCCCTGAGACCTCTATGGTGGAAAGACAGAACTGATTCCCACAGACTGTCCTCTGACGCCCACATGTGCAGTGGCACATGCAAATCCACAGACATGCTTGTACACCAGCACACACACACACACACACACACACACACACACACACACACACATACACACACACGGATACATAAATGTCCTCTTTAACAATTTGAGCAGTCAGTACTACATGTCCACGCAAAGAAATAGATGGAGCATCACCATCTCAGCAGCCCTGTGGGTGCTGTCCATCTGCTTTGATCCGGCTCTTTCCTCTTTTTCATTCACCATGCGAGGCATCGTGCTGTGTGAGGTTTACCTCGGCAGTCCCCTTTTGTCCTCCCTTCTCCCGGGAGGACTTGGTCAGATCTCGGTGGGCATGAACCCAGAAAGCCCAGTATAAATCCTTCCATGGACCTCCACAGGCCCCAGAAGACAGCAGAGACTATTGATCAGGGCCTGCGAGAACCGGATATGGTAACACACATCTGTAATCCCAGGAGTTCAAGGCCACCCTTGGCTACATAGAGATTTTTGAGGCACCACATGATATCATATTCAGGAAGGGAAGGGGAAGGTAGGAGAAGGGTAGGGAGGGGAGGGGAAGGCAGGGAGGGGAGGAGAGGGAAGGGAGGGGAGGGGAGGGGAGGGAAGGCCTATTGATCAAGTTCCAATCTGAGGTTCTAACCTGATGCTGATGTCCCTTGCAGAACTCATTTCTCCTCCTGTTGACAGTGGCCAGTGATAAGGGTCCCTGATCACCCAGGCAAAGTGATGCCATCATTTCATGCCAGGAGCAGTGTGTGATTCAACTGACATTAGCCAGCAACTGGAAAAAAAAAAAAAAAAAAAATCCCTTCCTTGGGCTTCCTTGGCAATCCCTTCCTTGGGCTTCAAGGGCCTGACTTGTTGTCCCAGGCTACAGAGACTTTGTCCTCAGAGAGCTGACTCTTGGAGATTCCCCCCAACATCAATGGCACCCTGGATTCCTGGCAGAGTGGATGGAAGGGACTCCTCCACGCTGCCTTGCAGAACTCAGTCACAAACTTCAAGGTGGGGCTCTCCATCCTGCCGTCCTGAGCAGTTAAATGCCAACCTCCAAAAGACAAGAGAGGACAGAGCCTGGAGGTATGAGTGGCACCCCCATTGTCTCCAAGACACATCTGAGACTAAAGTGATGTGTTCAGAAGTGGAAACCTGAAAGCTTCCTGGAGCCTTGTGGATCAACCAGAAGGACCTCCAAAGGATGACATTTGTTTGCCCGTGTGTGTGTGTGTGTGTGTGTGTGTGTGTGTGTGTGTGTGTGTGTATC